ATCAAGTACTTGATGACCGGTAAATGCTTGTAAGCTTGTTAGTGCACTGCTTACTGGGGACAGCTGTCTGTCCTCCTTTGTAATGGAAGACTTATTGCTTGAGGTCCGCCTCCGGACTGTTCCATACGTGACCATAAAGACCAAAGAAGAACTAACTGATGGCGGAAAAACGGTTTGGAAAGTATGAATCCCTCAAACTGTTACCCATGAGTCTGCAGTACTTCGCGATACGCTATTTTAGCACAGTCCGCCTCGAGAAATGAGTTTTAGCATGGACAATCGAAAATGGTGTAAATTTATCTCAATTCGGAAGGCTATTGCGACAGTGGTATTTTTACGTCGAGGGGCTCCTGAAGGCACGGGTCTTGGCCGACTTGGTGTGTGGTTTTGTTCGATCATTGGACAAGAAGCGCAAAAAGGAATGTTACTGGGGAAGAAAGCACCATAGAAAACACTGGCATTCTTCTCGTGAGGTCGTCTGTGGCATGACGGGCGGCACAGCATTGCGAGGAATGGGAGCACGTCGTACGCGATAGAGCGCAGACGCCGTATGATACGTTTGATGAGGATGGCAGCGGTCTTGGCAAGGGCTCAGCGCCCCTCTCGGGCTTTTTTGAGTCGTGACAATACCTCCAACCCCTATGACCTGCGCTCCTGCTATTTCATCCACGGAGAATTTCTCTAAGGATCTAATCGCGACCCGTGTCTTTAGTTTATCGTTCACAGGACATGAGCTCAAAATTCTTTTCCGTTTAGACGTTGTTCAAACGCCTGATTCGTTCTACCAAGTTTGAGGAATTCCTTGCAAAGAAGTGGCCCAGTGAGAAGAGGTTTGGACTAGAGGGATGTGAGGTTTTGATTCCAGCTGTCAAACAGGTAATCCACCAGTCATAAAAAATACTTCGTCGTTATTTCAGCTCTACTATGTTATCATTCAGGTCATCGATACTTCCTCAAGTCTTGGAGTCGATTCGATAGTCATTGGAATGCCTCACCGTGGTCGACTGAACGTACTCGCAAACGTCTGCCGTCAACCGTTGTCTACTATTCTCTCACAATTCTCGACACTTGAACCGGCTGACGAAGGTGCGCGTTAACCATTCGGTGGTTGCAGTGAATATCATGCCAATGTTGCAATAATCCAGAGGAATGAGAGGATCCCATTTTAAGGTTCCGGTGACGTGAAATACCATTTGGGTGTCTGCATTGAACGTCTTAACCGACAGTCACAGCGTAAAGTAAAGATCGCTGTTGTGGCTAACCCTTCGCATCTCGAAGCAGCGGATCCAGTCGTTATGGGCAAGGTAGAGTTGTTATGTTCAACATGCGTTACGTTTCAAATCTGACTGGATGCTAGTTAAGGTTCGCGCTGAAGCTTTCTATGCGGGTGACGAGAAATGTGACCGAACCATGGCTATCCTGATGCACGGAGACGCTGCCTTCTCTGGTCAAGGCGTAGTGATGGAGACATTTAATTTGGACGACCTACCAAGCTACACTACTCACGGCTGCATTCATATCGTTGTCAACAATCAGATTGGCTTCACTACCGATCCTAGGAGCTCTCGGTATGTGGAACAGTGCTATATTTATGAGATTTGTAGCCCTAGTGCTTTTTTGCTTCCGCTTTTCGACAAATTTCCATGGTGCCAGTTGACTGATAGGGGCCAAAGATATCGTCAAACCTATCTAAAGGATTTTTGGACTTATTTTTTGTATACTTTCACCCATCTATTATCTTGAGGTTGATGTCTATAGTAGTAGTTTGCGTTTGTGAAGTCGCTTTTCCCTTTTCTGGACTATTCAGTTCACTCTTTTCATTGCGCATTTTCATAGAGAGCACTATTTGGACAAGGGTTGTAGCAATCAGACCTTGGTCTTCACTATGTTGATTCTCCGCTCGCGCCCTTTGATGTAGCAAAGGTGTTTTTTGCAGTCCTTTTGATTTCCATTGTTTAGGTCTTCACCGTATTGTACTGATGTTGGACGAGTTGTTGGTTGTCCGATTTTCCATGTAAATGTGGACGATCCTGAGGCCGTGATGCACGTGTGCAACGTGGCTGCTCAATGGAGACAGACATTCAAGAAAGATGTGATTATTGATTTGGTGTGCTACAGAAGGTATCAGTGTTTTCATCAGGGGATCCCTCAGAGGATTGAACTGTTGCTTTGCAGGCATGGTCACAATGAGCTCGACGAACCAATGTTTACACAACCACTCATGTACCAGAAAATCAAACAGCAGCCAACAGCTCTTGAAAAGTACCAGGAACACATCATAACCGAGGGCGTCGCGAATGAGCAGTACGTTAAGGTAATAGCATTGCTTTCCTAGCTAGGCCACTGTTTCTTTCTCCTGTTCCTCTACCATTACTTGCAACTTCCTTTTCAGGATGAACTCACAAAGTACGGTCAAATCCTGGAAGAAGCTTATGAGAATGCTCAGCAGGTCACTTATTTGAGAAATCGGGACTGGTTGGATTCACCTTGGGATGACTTCTTCAAACGCCGTGATCCGCTAAAGGTATTATTTTACTTTGCTGTGTCGTGAGCCAGTGAGCGTTTTTGCGAAAAACTCAACCCCTTAGCCTTTTCGTTTCAGTTGGTCAGTACTGGTGTCGATGAGGAAACGATCAGATCTATAATTGATAAATTCGGGTCCTATCCCGAGGGTTTCCATCTCCATCGTGGTCTGGAACGAATTCTCAAGGGGCGCAAGCAAATGCTGAAGGAAAACTCGGTTCGTTCGTTCTCCTGCTCCCCTTTAAAATATTTCTTCACTTGTGTATTTTTATAGCTTGACTGGGCCTGTGGAGAAGCGCTGGCGTTTGGATCGCTTCTGAAGGAGAACATTCACGTCCGCCTCAGTGGGCAAGACGTGGAACGTGGAACGTTCTCTCACAGACATCACGTTCTGCACGATCAGCTGATTGATCAAAAGGTGAGCGTGTCGCTTTGTCGCACTTTTTTCAGCATTTTAATTACTCGGTCACAGTAAATTTTATCATTTGATTATTCACGTACAATACTTTCTTTCTCCGAGTATAAAACTTCTTCTGTATTACAGACTTACAACCCCCTAAACGATCTACAGGAAGGTCAGGCACACTACACTGTTTGCAATTCTTCCTTGTCGGAATTTGCCGTGCTTGGATTTGAGCTTGGTACGTTTTCTTTCATTGCGTACTTTCTCGGCATTGGTTTGCTCACTGTCTACTTAACTCATATTTTTAATTGTTGTTGTATTATTTTTTATTGTTGCATTACATGAAGCTCTCTTTTTTATCTTTATGGCTTAATTTTTAGGCTACTCTATGGTTGATCCAAATTCCCTTGTCATTTGGGAAGCCCAGTTTGGCGATTTTGCAAACAATGCTCAATGTGTTATTGATCAATTTGTTGCGTCTGGTAGGTCTCATGACCTTTGACTTATTTCTTGAGGTGTGACGGATAAACTGATGGGAGCTGTTGTTCAGGACAGTCGAAGTGGATTCGCCAGTCTGGCCTGGTGATGCTTTTGCCGCACGGCTACGAAGGAATGGGACCTGAACACTCGTCGGCTCGTCCGGAAAGATATCTTCAGTTGTGTAATGAAGACGACCAGATCGATCTTGAGGTGAGCTGAAACAGAGCGATCTCGTGAGATTATCGTGAGAAAGTATTTCCCTAATAGCTTATCGACAAATTTTTATTGATTACATGGTTTGTAGAAAGTTGCGTTTGGTGGCACATTCGAAGCTCAGCAGCTTCATGATACCAACTGGATCGTCGCTAACTGTACCACTCCGGCCAATCTTTTCCATCTGCTGAGAAGACAGGCGAGTCTTCTGCTGTTTGTTCAGGATTTGCTCTACTTCTTGCCATTCATTTTAATATCCGTGTTTATGATCTCCATTTTGTATACATTTGGTCATTGGTATGGTTCAATTGCAGATAGCAATGCCGTTCCGTAAACCGGCTGTGGTCATGACACCGAAATCGCTACTTCGTCATCCAATGGCTCGTTCTCCTATCGAAGACTTCCTTCCTGGCACATATTTCCGTCGAGTCATTCCCGACAACATTGAACATAAAGGAAATGTACAGCGGCTTGTTTTCTGCACTGGTGAGTAGTTGTGATAATAATGTGGAAAATAGAAAGAGCGGAATCTGTAAATCAGCCTCCATGAATTAATGCCCTTCATTGTTGCGAATAGTGATGCACTTCCTTACTGACACTATATGTGGCCGCTGTCGCTGAGATATTTATTACTGGTTTTATATGTGAATGATGGGTCTTGTGTTTCAGCTTTAGTCCCAGTCCGCCTAAAGTTTCGGGTTCTTCCTCCTTTCAAGTATTGTCTAGGGATTGGAAAAGTGTCAGACGAGTTTAGTAACCACTTTATGCAGTAAGTCGTACATCAGCGTTGCCAAATGCAAAAAGTGTGGACGACGGACTAGCCCCACATGCACTTCTATAGCGGACGGAACTGGCGGCGTCTCTGTCGCGGGAAGCCTACTGCTATCAGTGGTGCCCTATCAATCGATCATATTCGTGACGGAGTGGTCAACAAAATACGCTGCTGGCAGTACTACTGACGAATTAGTGCTTTGTATTGAATGTGTTTGTTTTAGGCAAGGTCTACTACGATCTGGTAATGGCTAGAAAGCATGTTGGAAAGGAAGATTCGGTTGCAAAATTTGCCGCATAGACACAGATCGCCATTCCGCTACGATTGGTTCATCCCGAAGCCAGAGTATCCAGGACGGCTGATCTGGGTCGCAAGAGGTTCGTTTAATTCTATGGGACGTTAGGGTATATGATATTGCCAGATGGTTGTGTGACATTGGTGGCGATCGCGGCGCTCATTTAACCGTAGACCTAGGTCATTTTGGTGAAATCCGCCCTAATCTCAAATGCATTTCACAAATCGCAACTTGACTGAAATGGAACCGCGTTAGGAATAGGTTTTTAATTCTTTTATCAGCGAATGCAATCTCTATGGCGAAGTTTTTAGGAGCACAAGAACATGGGTGCATGGGGCTTCGTGCAGCCGCGTATCAACAGTCTGATGCAGTCTGAGAACCGTGGAATCCCGCTACGCTGGCGCCATCCTCAGCTCACCAGCTACAGGGCAATAATGTACACCCATCTGCAATAGAACAGAAGACATGATGGCAGAAACATTGAGCTTCCGGAAATACGACTTTGTTATTTTTGGACGCGTTTTAAGTTTAATTACATATAGTGGTGCAGTTCTTTCAGCTCGAATATGTTCCCCACCGGGTTTCTTGGTCGGTTTCTGCTCACTCGCAGCCTTCTATTATTGTTTTGTGACTACTGGCTGAAAATCGGACGATGGTCGAGGATCGGCGAACGAACGATTGCTTTAGGTTGATTTCAATCTCGAATAGGCAATACATGCTACGTTTGTTTTTCACTTTGTTTGTCTCGTCGACCACATATTAACCTTGACCATGTGTTAACCTATGTTGTGTTCTCCTTAGGGCATGCAGCTTTACGGCATCTAACTTCACTAATTGTCACTATGTGAAATATTTCTAAATTATCTAAAATATTTCTAAAATATCTAGTTTCCAGGTGCAAAACAGTTGTGAATCAATTAATTAGCAAAAAGGAGTTAAAAAGCTTAATTCGTTTGCTTGCATGTCTGCATTAGCATAGCGGCATGTGGTCTATAGACACCATAGTAGAGTTCTTGTAAGTGCGTGTGGTTATGCCAAAACCTTGTGCGGATTCCTAATAAATGTTTCGTCTTCAGCAGGAACCTGCTGTGATGATGTTTTTTTTTAAATATTTTTTACCAAGGATACCTGTTCAGGGATGAACTGATTACTACACTCTAGAAATTCCAGCTGTACTACGTGTCCTACATTGTGTTCCCTATTGATGCTTACACTTATATGGAACAATCCCTACCATTTACAGCTTACTTTCACTCTGTTACATGTTTTGTAATTATTTACCACTTGACTGCCCCAAATTTCCCGTTCCGGACCAATTTGAATCCTATTACCACTTCGCGATTCCTACGTATTAAATCACCATTAAACAATTCCTCAACAGGTTTTCTCTGAAATTTTCGATATTATCGTCAGAAGTATTTGCCAGTTCAGTCATAATCAGCCAGTAACAATAACAATAACAACAACAATAACAAGGTTGATATCCGCGATTCTATGTTTCTGGTTCACGCAGTGCAGCTAAAGAGGGAAGGGGTGTGGGTACTTAGGACAGAACGCGACTTTTTCGCTCTTCGCAACGCGACATCGCGCGGCAGGCTGGCGCACCCGTAGCGAAAACAACTACGGTATATAAGAACGCGCGATTGGAGCAGCTTTTTTGCATGCGTGAATTTGTAAGTTTCTGATTCCTTACTTGCCCGCGCTCACACCCATTGTATTGATAAATGCGGTGAATCACTAATTCTGTCTCATTATTGAAAACGTTTTGTGACTTACACGATTCCGGGCGATGCCACACAAATGGTGTTTTACGAATTATCGGTGAACGAGGGTTTAATAGTGTCGCTTGTGCTTGCATTTTGTGGGTTCATATTGTTGCATAGACATCTTCACAAGGGTATAACATCTTTTACGGAACGCTTCTGTCCTCATCACGGATATGATACTCATTTTTGACGCTGGCGCCATTTGGGGCCGGGTGGCGCCACAACTGATTCCCACTAAATTCGCTGTAAACTTCTGTATAGGGGTTATTCGGGGTCCTGATTCGTTGTTAGCGCTATTCGGCGCCTGCTTCCTGCTCGTCTGCGCCCTCGCACTAATTAGATCGCAATAGGACTAAGCCTTTGAGTAGTGTAGGGCTCCAAAGTGGGTAGGCCATTCCCCTGTGGTCTGACACACTCCAACTTTTGCCACACGGTGCGTGGTTTACCCACTCCGGAGTTTCACTCCCCTCCCCTAAGCTTAGTCGTAGGCGCTGTAGGTGAGAAAGCTTAGAAAAGCAGAAAGTATGCGTTAAACAGCACGAATGTGAAAAATGTGTCATATTCATGATCAGGGCCCCAAATAACCCCTATGCAGAAGTTTACAGTCGTCTCATCAAACGTCCATCAACCATTCCTCTTCCAGGTTCTCCAGAAGCTCTACCATCCATCTCTGCAAAAATAACCTACCTCCCTCTTCACTGCTAGTTAGCGGTCCACTTCTGGTTACCATTTCCTCGTTCATTATCAAATCCATGGCTATTAAGCTTCAAACTCCTTGTCGCAATCAAAGCCGACACAAATATCGCGCTCCAATCGCGCGTTCTTATATACCGTAGTTGTTTTCGCTACGGGTGCGCCAGCCTGCCGCGCGATGTCGCGTTGCGAAGAGCGAAAAAGTCGCGTTCTGTCCTAAGTACCCACACCCGAGGAGAGGATGCTGGACGAGCGGCTACTTGTACGGCAGCTATTTTATTTCTTTGACCGCTGAGGCAGCAACTTGGATGCCTTCATGATTTTCCTTCTTGTTTTGTCCTCCAATCTTTCGATCATTCACAAGCAATTGGCTCATTGCCGAATAGCAAATGCACGCAGTCCGTATTTCGCTGTCTGAGTAGGCGGGTCGCCGAATTTGACGCGGCGGTAGCCGCACATGGTAGAATTCGCGCGGATAAGATGTTTGCGGTATGCCTTGCTGATGAAAGTATGTTGGAAACAGCTTTTCCGCGCGACTTCTATCAAGTGCGGCGACAGCCACATCATTTCCAATGACACGGCTGCTCAGACGGCGTGATATGGACTGTAGTTGTCAGACTAAGGCTGCATTCATACCTTTGCGCCGGTGCGGTCCGTGCGGTCCGCGCGGATGGTGCGGAGAGAGTGAAGAGCGTCAACACGCGCACTGGCGCATGACGCGTACTTGGCGTGCAATCGGTAGCTTCCGATCGATAATTAATTTCGATGCATCCTTTCCATTTTTCGATGTTTGGTGTGCTGTCTTGGGGTCTATTCCTGTTAGGGGGGGGGCATCACGATGCAGTATTTCCCGAAAGCTAAGGTAACTCCG